AGGGCCGCCAGCTGTTCCCTTCGAAAGGCGGCGGTGACCACATTATTCACGGCGTCTATTTTTAAAAATGGCTTTCCAGCCGCAGTTGTAGGAAGCTGACGATTCCGAGGGGCAGCTCTTCCAGCCCTTGCAGCGCCTTGGCTTTAAATAGATTTATTTTTTCCTTCTCGGTTTGATCGCCCTCTCCTCCCCAGGATGCACCCTTCTGATCCCTCTTCTCCCATGGCGTGCGCCGGCGATGCCCCTGCTCGGGCGGGTGTCGGGCGGAGCGGGCACGGCAGAGCCGTGGGATGCGTCGGGGCTCCCGGCTTTTTTGGGGGCGGGGAAGGGATCTTGGTGCTTTTGTATCGGTGCCGTGACATTGCTGTTGTGTTTGTCGGGAGGTCACCGAATAGCAGATGCTATTTGGGTTCTGGTGATTGGAAAGTCTTTTGATTATCCTGGGAAGGTCTGCATCCGAACTCGGGAGCTGCCCGGGGGAGAGGGGGCTAACTTGGTCTCCTCTGAGCGTGTGAGGGAAGCCTGCGTGTGCGTGTGCGTGGATGCGGGGGGACGAGTCAGAAGGAAGTTTTCCTCCAGGAATAAGGAGGACAAAGAGAAAACCCCGGGGGCCGCGCGTAAACTCCTCGCTGGGCTCTGCCCTGTGGGAATCCCCCTCCCCGCACACACACACACACACGCACACACCTCTGGAGAGACATCAGATAAGAGTAATTCTTTTGTGATGCTATGTTGGATGTGTGCCTATTGCATACAATAAACCGAGCCATATTGTGTGTCTATACTCGCCCGGTTCTGGGAGCCCTGGCATTTCGCAATTCCTGCAGCAAGATGTCCATCTCTAAAAGAAAAGCTCCCCGGGAGAGCCCGGCTCGGTCCCCCCCGTAATGCGATCTCAGGTGATCAAAGCCTTATCTCTCCTGGGTGACAAAAGAAATTTTTTTTTTTTGATGCAGTCTCCTTTAGTCTAGGGCATTTGCTAGACAGTGGAGTCATTGTAAATTCAGGAACTCTGTAACAGCGGAGAGGCGTGCCTCTGTGCGTCAGCACAAGTACTGCATGCACAGCATTAAAAAAATAGGAGCATGCAGGAAAAGGAAAAAAAAAAAAGCTTGTCAGCAGGTGACCTCCGCTCCCCGGGACCTGCTGCTACAAGGAACCGCTGCGTTCATCATCTGCGGGAGCCGCGCAGCCGCCCGCCCCCCC